TATTTGATTATAAAATAAATAATTGAGAGTACCAAAATCGTACCAAATATGGTAAGGGAGAAAATTCACTCTTAAATGAAGGCGGTGCAAAAGAGTAGAGAAGAAAGAAAACAAACTGGTTGAAACCGGTCAAGAATGCGTCATCAATGACGGCACGTAACTCAACTCATAGAAACGAAGCAGAAGAAGGAAAAAATTTATAAAAAAAAGGAGATGGGCAGTAAAATTAACCTTGAAAGAGACGAGTAAAAGTGACCTTGACTCAGAAAAAAAAAAGAAACGACGAAGAAAAGATTCGAACACAAAAATAGCCACCATAGGCAAAAGGAAAAAAAAATGTGATAAAATTTCAAAAGAGGATGGAGCATTAAAAAAATTAACTAAGTAAGAAAAAAAAACAATTGCAAATGATACAAAAATTAAATTAATGAAAGACAAAAATGGTCAAAAATCACTGTGACATCTCCCCATGACACCCACAAAAATTTTGCGACAAGTCGTAAAATTTTTCAACATACAGCAAACAAGAAGCGAACTCAAAATCCTTCTCAACACATGGCAAACAAGAAGGAAACTCAAAGTCCTTCTCAACTCACAGAAAACAAGAAGAGAACTCAAAATCCTTCTCAGCACACAGCAAACAAGAAGCGAACTCAAAATCCTTTTCAACACACAGCAAACAAGAAGCAAATCCTTCTCAACACACAGCAAACAAGAAGGGAACTCAAAATCCCTCTCAACACACAACAAACAAGAAGAGAACTCAAAATCCTTCTCAACACACAGCAAACAAGAAGCGAACTCAAAATCCTTCTCAACACACAACAAACAAGAATGGAACTCAAAATCGCTCTCAAGACACAGCAAACAAGAAGGGAACTCAAAATCCCTCTCAACACAAAGCAAACAAGAAGGGAACTCAAAATCCTTCTCAACACACAAACAAGAAGGGAACTCAGAATCCTTCTCAACACACAGCAAACGAGAAAGGAACTCAAAATCCTTCTCAACACACAACAAACAAGAAGGGAACTCAAAATCCTTGCCAAAAAGATGGAAAGAGGGGGGGGGGAAGCAATGCATGACAGAGGGTGCTAACCCATCCTCACTCATGTGGTTACATTACATATTACAATATCCAATGAAGACAATTAAAAAAACATTGACATATACATAAAACAGTAAGATAAGATTTGAAAGTAGTAACAATCACTGGAGTGTAAGACATTAACCAGAGTCATCCTACATCAATGCCAGATTGACCGTGAGTCCTAATATCACAACAGAAAGTTTTGACTTACAAGGGAAACTAGGGAAGTGTGACTCGC